TGAGGAGGGGGCGGGAGGGACAGGTCACCTCGGATCAACGCCATTGCGCTGGCTCCGCAGGGACATCCCCGCAGAGGGCTCGCAGGGGGCCTAGGGTTGCCCCCAGCCCCGACCCGCCCGGCTCCGTGGGGCCCGGCCCTGCCCTGGCAGCCCCCCGTGGGCCCGGCGCCTCGTCTGGGTTGCGACTGCTGTGTGTCACCGGGGCCAAGGCACCAACAGCGGGCTCTGAGGGATGTCACACCTTGTGTGGGGCCTGGTGTGCAGCCCCCTGAGATCCGGTGTGGGAAGGCGAGATGCTTCCCCTTAAGAAAACTACCTTTTTTTCCTAGAGAAAACCGCGTTGACTGGGGATGCTGTAAATTCAGGCCTCGTTTTTTGTTGGTGGCTGTGTCTTCTGTGGAGCTTGCGGTGTTACTACAAGCGTCCTGCCTCGGTGATGGCAGGTACGTGCTGACACACCATACAGTTGTGCTGGGATTTAAAATATGGTGTGAAAGGTGGGGAGAGCCAGCTTCCAGACAGGTGGAGGGGTGAGGCATGGTGTGCCATCGAGATCTCACACCAACGGAAAGATGCTCTGTCCTGCCACAGTCCCAGTCCGTCCCCTAACTGTGCCAAGGTGGGGGCTTCAACTAAGCAACTTCAACCTATTGCTCCATTTTGCCAGTGGAAATGCCTTGCGAACTGGAGCAGTTTCCTTCATCCGCTTTGGGAAACAGGGAGGTCATGAAACCAAAATGAGAAAGATGCCCGTCTTCATGTGGCCTCCCAAAATACTACTGATTAATTGCCAAGAAGGCTTAATTGTGTCACAGCACTTAGTGGTACGGTAACATTGGTTGGTATGGGTACATAGGAGGCTCAAATAATATCCTCTAATTTGCAGTGCATGGAAGTGATCAGACATGTAAAAGATTCTGGGAGAAATTAGTACAGTTCTATGTTTTCTGTATTGTGTAATCAGAGAGGTTAATACCAAAGAAAGTTGATGTATTCTAACGACATTATGCCGAATTGAATAATATTAATAACACAATGCTCCTGTGCCTTTTTCAGAACTGCTCCATTTGTTTTAGCCAAGATGGGCCGTGCCAGAAAGGTATGACAAAAGTTACTCCTTTCAGTAAGTCCACTGATGTCAAAGCTTGGGATCTAAGTGTGCAAATTAATGTCAAGTATCATACTAGCTGCTCTCCAAACTGCACTCGGAGAGTCCCTCTTATTGTTTCTCTTACATGAAGAAATTGTGTTGTAAAATCTTTCGGTCTTACTTGTATGGGCAAAACCCAACCATATGTAGAAAGGTGTCGAGGAGGACTTGCTTTACCATATTCAAGAACTTGTTAAAGCATGCTAATACGTTGACTGTGTTATAACATGCTGTGGTGTTGCCTTAGGCTAAAACACATTTTCCTATCAGCACAGATGTCACTGTGTAGCAGTATTAAATAAATAAATAAATAAAATTAAATAGTAGAAATCAGTCTGCTTTTTAATAGAATGTATTAGATTATTTAGTTAACAAAATCTATAAATTACTATCTTATAAAGCGGGTAAAATAAAGGAAAAGAAACCAGGTGTTTTACAGATATGAAATATGTTTTGACTTGCCTACACCAGACATCAAATGTCTCTCTCTTAAATGTACTTCTGGTGAATTCTGACAAACCCCCCCCCCCAACATTAGACACGATTATTTTAAAGATGGAGGTTGTGATCATAATAATGAAAACCCATCTAAAGTGCTAATGGGCTACATGCAGACTGCATTCCTCACCTCCATAAAAAGACTTTCAATAATACAGAAGGTTTTGCTTTTCCATAGCGTAGCACCGCAGCTAACGCCCCGGGGTGTTCCTGCGTGTTGGCACATGCCCGTGAGGATCTCGGAACGCTTTCTGCATCCACTGCTATGGTGTAAATGAAAACCCGTAATATGGCAAGCTAAATGCTTGTTGAGAGACACAGAACGCTTACCAACCATGGAAAAGAGATGTGATGAAGGCTGGGTTTAAGGTTTCTACACCCAGGTGACGGGTGACAGGGAGAGGAGGTGTCTGGACTCGTTCTCTGGTGCCGCCTTCTGGCTGGTCACTCCTAGAGAAGTCAGTCAACAGGTCCCCCAGCCAGGTGACAACAAGCACAACAAAGATTAAACGGCTTTCCAAAAAGTTCGTGGAGAATTCCTCCCCGTAGCCTAACTCAGAGCAAAAATACCCCAAGAACCAGAGGGAGCCCTGTCAGGCAGGGTGGCACAAGCCCCGCCATGGCCCGCAGCCAGGAGAGCTGCTCTGCCACCGCGTGTGGGAACGCAGAGCTCTCTGCCGGGCTGTTCCAGCCGCCGCTCAGCATCCAGTCCCCTGGTATTTCCACGGCCATGTCCTCTCTTCGGCATCTGGTTATTTGTGTTTTCTCCAAAGCTGTGTTAGACAAGTCAAGGGCAAAAAAATAACGGGTACATAAACAATGTTGTTACAAGTTTAATCAGAGTATTCCTCTGATTAAGAGTATCTAGTAGATATCATAATCTCCAAAATACAGCTCTCCAAATACAGATCTCTAGTAGGTATTATGGATCTCCAAAGTACAGCAGAACTTTGTGATTGATAATCCTTTAGATTATGGGATCTATGCTTTATGGTGGTACCGTAAGATTTGTGAGCTGGAATAGCTTTGGGGAGAACGTGAGCGGGACCATTCTGCATTGCTGAGACACAACCAGGAGACACTTGTCAGGGGCCGGGCTGTCAGCTCCAGTGCCCCTTTGCGAGGGGAGGCCAGAGCTCTCTGCCAGAGCAGCAGGGCATTAGGATCCTTTTGGAGTTGTCAACCATGTCAAATCCTACCTCTACGATCTCAAAGTGTAACTAAAGCCCTGAGGCGAGGCAGCAAAGTCCTTGCTCAGACAGGGCACCCTCGCCTGGGAGCGCCATCGGAGCCTCATGAGGCGGGAAGAGCCCTGTGGCAAAGAGGAGCCGCAAGAAAGCGGGCGGGACGGGTGGCGACCCCCTTTCTTATTTCTTAAGCTGCTTTTAGGGCAGCTCTCCCCGCCCCCGGCACGCTGAGAGCTCGCCTCCAGCCGCCGGGGCCGTCCGAGGGCAGCGGGCAGCGCCCTGCCCCCGCCGGGCGGGAAGCGGGACGGAACATGGCGGGCCCCTCCAGTCCCCGCTTCCCCCGCCTTTCCCCGCGCCGCCGCGCATGCGCGGCGGGCGGCACCGAGGCCGTATCCCTCCGCCGAGCCCCTTTTGTCGGGGATATTTTGTGTAATAAGATAATAACCCGCACCCCATGGTAAGTGCCGGGCGCCCCTCCAAGCGCTGCCCGCCGGCGGCCCCCGCAGCCCCACGCCCGGCGGCGGGCTGGCGGCGGGGCGGCGGGACAGCGCGGGCCGCCCCTCCCCTCCGCCCGCCGTGTCCCTCCGCCAGCCGCAGCGGGGACTTTTGTGTGGGGCTTTTGGGCGCCGATGAGCGGCGGCCTCCGGCGCCCCTGGTTGTTGTGGCAG